TTCTTCTGGGAGCGCGGCGAAGCCAGTTTCGAGTCTGTTGAATGAGTCCATAGTAGGGGGCAATACCCATAGCCTTTTGCTTTCTAGCTATCGATACGTTGTTGGGCTGATACCTAGAAGGCCTTCGCCTCCTGTTTGCAGTCTCCCTATAGCTTTTGATGGCTTGTTATCGAAGTATGACCATGATAATGACAGCAGATCTTAGAGTGACGTCGTTTGGAGATGAAGTTTTGAGAGATGCAGATGCAACTGAGCGACGCTACTATATCATATCTCGAGAAAATAAGTGTCAGTAAAGATATGATAAGCTTACTACAGGTAGTTTGCAACCGCGGTTTCGCATGCCCGATTGCGTGTTTTCGTGCAGGTCTTGCTTGGAATGCAGTGGTTGTAAGTGGGCATCCAGAATGTTCATCACCAAATGTCTGTACCTGGTAACCATGCAAATTACACAAAGAGATCAATCGTCGAGATCCATCAGAGCGCAAGCGCGAAGATTAGAAGAAAGGGCCCTCTAGTCACGATTCATCGTAGAAGCACAACTGACCTCGGGAATAAAGGTACCTCGTTCGCGCGTCTACCAAGCTACCCCACCTATGAGTGCGCAGCCGTTAGTATGATATGTTATAGCTTACTGATATCGTTGCGAGAAGAATCGGGGAGGTGGTGATATCTGTACTCCTGAAAATGAGAAGGATGTCTATGGCCGTGACGCACTAACAGCGCGACACAAGCATTGATGACCTGCTTGGCGGAGAAGCTTAGCTACGATCGTGCGCTAGGACGCAGACGGCATGATCGAGACCGCAGTGGGCCTGTGTCCCCTCGCTGATGCAGGATGGCTAAACATAATAGCATTTGGCGCCAGACTTCATCAGCGCTGCAGACAGACTCGATACTGTATGGGTCACTCTCATGACATTAGCTGTTTCGCAAGCTCCAGTGCCCACCTTAGTCGGTTTGATCCCAAGAGAAGCCTCAGCAAGCTTCCAAGGTTCGCAAGCGGTATCGAGAGACAACGCAACTCGCATAGGATTAGGCCGAGTGGGCAGACAAAAAGAATCGCGCACCGCAACAGCCTAGCGACCCAGCATCGGGGATCCGCGTAGGTTCACCCGCGCATGGTGTGCAGCTGCAGCGAGCACGGTGTCTGCCTCCGCGGGTAACTTTCTTGTATAGCTGGCGACGACCCAGGCAGTGCTTTCCTGCCCTTGCGTACATAACACGTCGTCGGGCCTCCAAACTCCAACTAGACAACAATCTTCAGGTGCTGCTGATGAGACCGAACTTTTGCACCCACCAAAAGCCCCCGCCCAACCACTCTCCACCGTGGACAGACCCCGTGTTCCTTTGACGACTTGGCAGCCAAGAGCATTTGCGGCTCTTGAACAAGCCTTCTGCGCGACCCAAGCTGTACGTAACTGCTGATCCATCATACATCCATCCCTTTCTTCGCGCCCCACAAGCGTCCCGATTGCTGTCCGCTGTCCGCTGTCCGCCTCGTGCCCGTCACGTTAGCATCCATGGGGCTGCGGCGCCGTGCACGACGGCTTGTCTTTGCTCACGCTAGAGAGCACTGCCACCATCACCATCGTCGTTCCCCGCGTGGGACCGCGAGACATCACCGTATTGCCACGATTACGCCGTGTCCACCGCAATGCTGACCAGAGGTGCGCGCTATCCAGTTGCTTGTCACCGACGCCGTCCATCGCCATCACCACAGCCCCCCGTCCATCTGAGACAGTTGCGCGTCGCCGTTGCGTGCGCCAGCCCCGAAGCGATCGCCCAAGAACCACAACACCATATACCGGACACCTGACCGCGTCCTCCGCCGTGCTTGCTGCGCCTATTGTTCTGACTAGCCACGCAAAGCCATTCTCGCGATATACCTACCGACGGTCGCGCGCGCCTCCCGACCGCGGTGCTTGCACGCAACAGCTCGTCCCGGCGGCCCGACTAGCTTGTACTGGCACATTTGTAGAATCGTGTGGGCTCCCGGAGACGACCGTCTATACTGCGGATAGCCGCATGATGTGCCTGGTACACGGAGTATGACTTCCAGCCAGACACGTGCAGCTGCTACTCCGTCCTCCCCAGTGTCGAGCCGGTCGTTCTTCTCTCGGCTCAAATCGCCCTTGACATCCAAGTCTCGCAACTACACCGAGTTCTATATTCAATCAGATGACCCCCATCGCCATTACACGCCGGGCGACATCATTAGTGGAACTGTCATTATCAAGATCGTCAAACCCCTGAGAATCACTCATTTGGTCGTATCTTTGCACGGCTATGCGCAGGTTTTCAAGAACCCAAATACCCCCGGAGATGCCTACAAGAACTACTGCTCAACAGTCGGCTCTGGGAGAGGGAAAAAGGCAGTGAGCTACTTTGGCAATGGATTCGTTTCGCTGTTCGAGGACGAGGTTGTGCTTTGTGGCGAGGGAAGACTAGCTGAGGGTGTATACCACTTCAACTTCGAACTCGAGTTCCCTTCCAAAGGCTTGCCCAGCAGTATTGACGTAAGTAGCGATTCGTTCGCGGCTGACAGAATTACTACTAACCAATCACAGTTCGAGCGCGGAACGATATCTTACATGCTCAATGCCACCTTGACACGCCCCACGACCATGTCGCCGACCGCATCATGCGACACAAAGGTCTACCTCACCGAATCGATCGACATTGCGCCCGTGCCGCAGCTGAAGCCCCGTGTCATTTCTCTGGAACCCATATCTAGACGAACACGCGCTAGGTCGACACGGAAACGGCCGATAGAGGAAACACCACATACACCCTCTGGCTCGGAGCCTCAGTCAATGGGGCCCGCCTTGGAAGCGACTAAGACCATCGATGAGACGGAGGGTCCACGGAGCCCCTCGCCTAGCGACGTGAGCTATGAGAGTCAAAGGAGTAGTGGAAACGCTTCCGGAACGGAGTACGGCATTCGTTCGATCAACACGGCTACAGATGGATCAAACTCACAAAATGGAAGTCGAGCGACACTGAAAGGAAAGACAATCACAGCCACGATCGACGTGCTCAAGGGCGGCTTTCTCAGAGGCGACCAAATACCGATCAAAGTGACTGTGAATCACACGAAGCATATACGAAGCTTAAAAGGTATCATCATCACGTTGTATCGTCAAGCACGAGTTGACATGCATCCTGCACTGCCTGTCGTACCAAACAGCAAAGGCGACAAGACCAAGTCAGAAGATTACTATCCGAAATCAAGGACTGGTCTAGGAGGGTTATCCCTCTCATCAGCTGGATCCAGTCACTTGTTCCGAAAGGATCTGTGTCAATCTTTCGCACCACTTTTCGTCGATCCCAGGACGCTCATGGCCGAGGTGAAGTGTGCGGTGCGCGTACCGGATGAAGCTTTCCCCACAATATCAAACGTACCGGGCGCAATGATATCCTTCAAATACTACGTCGAGGTCGTTGTAGACATACAAGGCAAGCTCACAGGCCTCGACCGAATGGTGTCCAACGCTGGGCTTGTCAATCTGCCTTCTGCAGCTGGAGGTACCTCTGCCATGACACGTGACGATGCTAGCGGCAGCATGTTCTCGACTTGGGGAGGCAACTTTGTCGACACCGATCAGATTCGCCGCGAGAAGGGCATCATCTCTGCTTTATTCGAAGTTGTTATCGGTACCAGAGACAGCGACCGGAACGGCAAGAAGAAACAGATACAGGAACAGCCGGCTGATGACAATGGCGCCTACGGAGGATACAACGATGAGCAGGGCTATGATCAGTACTACTACGAGCAGGACGAGAACGGGCAATACTACGATTACAATTACGATCCAACGTATGACGACGTCCCCGGATATGAACAGCATAGTGCAGGCAGAGCACCAGGGTTCCCTGTGCCTGCAGTTGTTCCTCAAGAAGAGCAGGGGATATCGGAGAAAGAACGGTTGCGACGAGCAGAAGAACGCTTACTACCTTCTCAACCGCCAGATGCTGCTGGATCCTCCACTCCTTCAGGGGGTGCTCAATATGGCATACCTGCGTCAGCGCCTGTGCTACCAGATGATGATGATCCAAACCCTCCTTACGTCGCAGTAGCTTCATCATCTTCGACTCCAGCCCATCCTCCGCCCCCATTTCGTGCGACCTCTTCGCCCATGTTGTCGTCACGCATGACATCATCACCATCGTTACAGCGCCGTGTTACGAACATCGCAGATGACGAGACGAGAACTATTCGAACTGAGTCCTCGCATACCATACATCCCAGTCGATCAGAGCCACCCGTTAATGGCGAAGATAACGACCCATCGAAACCACTGCCGCCATTACCACCCCAATCGCCACATACGGCACAAGGCTCGGCACCAGAGTACGTCGCTGGCTCATCATCACATGTCGAACCTACCGATGACAAGCAGGAGATGCAGCGACGTAGACTGGAAATGGAAAGAAGTGCACCGCCCACAGATCATGATGAAGATGGAGAGTCCTCACATGCTCTTTCAGCGCCACCACTCGATAGAATGCGGAGCTTACAATTGGTACCTTCGGCACCTGCGCTAAACGACGAAGACGAAGATCTCGTGGGCGCTGTACGCCCAGGTCGAAGTACGCAAGGTGCGCCGCAAGATAGCAGGCGGCAAAGCGAAGCCTTGCCGGAGTACCGGAGGTGACATGCATGACAATGGCGTTTGCGGTATTTCAGGCGCGACCATGCATAGAAAGGAGCGTTGCGCACAGCGGAATCTTATGCGGGAATCTTTTCAAAACGCAAATTTACAGGAAATAGTTGGGTGGTTGACTCTTATGATATCCTTGAATTATATTACATTACTCTGATGCCTGAGCCCTCAATTTTGAGAAGACATTGCCTGCTTGTTCTGCCATCACTTGGTCTATCATATTCAAGACGAGAATCGTGACTCTTATAGTGGTGAACTGTCCTTGCGACAGACCCGCGACATTCTGCGCATGCCCGGATCACCACTGTCTCTTTGTCCCCAGAGGTCTAGGGCTCACTTCATCTCCCGTAGTCGGCGTTCGACGACGGTCTCGAGATCACGAGAGTGCGCGTTGTGTATCTTTTGCAAGCTCGCTAGCTGCCTGCCCATAGCGGCTTCGATGTTGATCTTTTGACCGAGAAGATCCTGGAGACGTTTGAGCTGTGCTTGATGGGCTGCTGATCTGAGGTACTGTTAGTCTGTGGTTCATCATTTTTTCCATGACTACGTTGCTTACGCTTCAGCCTCGTGTGTGTCAAAGACTGCATTGATAGACTCTTCCAACTCCTCTTTCTTTTTGTTGTAAGCTATACCTACATTCTTCTTCGACGTGTCATGATACTTGCGTCGCTGCACATGTGGTTAGCCTCGTGTCTCCGACAACCGAATGACGAGGCGAGTGTGGGTCATAGACGTGAACATGGAGACGACAGTCTGCTGGTGATGGGCCCATCTCAACATACGTCATCTACCATCTTTACCATCATTAGTTCCAGCGGGCCATCGGAAATGCGCTGCAAAGCTTCTGCCTCATCAAGTTCATCGTCGATCGCGCTATTAACTTGGTCGAGGTCTTCGAAATCATCTGCTTCGTTGATGACCTGTTTCCGTGAATGCCTTGCGCTCTGGCGAGTGGTGGCTGTGGAGGGGCTTGTGAGTGTGGATTTCTTGGTTGTGCGCGGTGGTGCCATGGCTGCTGTTGGTAAGTGCTGATGATTAGTGGTGTGAGTGAAAGTGGTGATCAATCGTTTTGCCGAAACCTTCGTATTGCGAAAGTCGTTGTGGCTCAAGTGACGGAAGCTTGTGAGTTAGAGGGTGAAAGTCGGAGGCTTAGATACGGCGAGGGATGGCTTCCCCACATGGAAGGCGCCAAGATTCCGCGCTAGCGTGCATCCACAGTTTTTTCGGGCTTGTGTTTGCGGACTCCCGCTTTCTCTTCAACAATCACGAAATCGCTCAGTCTGTCCAGTGTTCAGCATGGGTCTCGCAGCGCCGAAGAAGTACGTTCGCCAGTTTGGCTCTGGCTGTTTCCTGCCAAACTAACGCCACACCAGTCGATCGAAGATCTCCAACGATCCCCAAAACACCACTTGGGCGAACAACACCTCGCGCTTCGGCCATCGCATATTGACCTCGCAAGGATGGCAGCCCGGCAACTCACTGGGCGCGACAGACGCCTCCCACGCCGCCCACTATACCGCTGCCTCGCAATCGCACATCCGAGTATTCCTCAAAGACGACAACCTTGGCTTGGGCGCAAAGCGAGGAAGTGAGCGCGCCGAGAACTTTGGTCTTGCAGGACTAGAGAGCATTCTTGGACGTCTGAATGGCAATGAGGCGGAGGTCAAGAAGGAAGAGGAAAGGCGAGAGGAAATTGAGAAGAGGGCTTTTGTCTACCGGAAATACGGCATGATGAACTTTGTGAGCGGTGGTTTCCTGGTGGGCGACAAGATTACCAAGGGCTCAGATATCAAGAAGGAAGTCGAGATCAAGACTGAGATCAAGACTGAGTCGGAAAGCGAGGATGGCGCATCGGCCAAGAGGGACAAAAAGAGGAAGCGAGAGGAGCGAACAGAAGACGAGCCTAAGGTGAAGCGCAAGAAGAAGAGTATGGATTTGCGCGACGAAGCACGCAAGGAGGGCGACTCAGTCAAGTCGAAGAAAGACAAGAAGGACAAAAAAGATAAAAAGGAAAAGAAGAAAGACAAGTCGAAGAAATCAAAGCGGGCATCTTCATCTGATGCCGAATCTTCCACCGACGACGCCGCCGCTCCCGCATCTGACCCAGAACCGCTCACAGACAAGGAACGGCGGAAGGCCGAGAAGAAGGCACGCAAGGAGGAGAAGAAGGCGAAGAAGGCCCTGAAGAAAGCTGCAAAGAAGGCTGCGAAAAAGGACAGCTCAGACGACTCGAGCTCAGAAAGCGAGGAAGACGAGAGCGCGCCGACGACGATCTCATCGGTACCTGTGTCGAAGACATCTACGCCTGTTCCCGCGGGCCTATCATACACCCCAAGAGGCATGCATGCCGTCAGACAGAAGTGGATCCGGCAGAAGAAGGCTGCGACTATGGATGCACAAGCGATGAAAGAGGTATGCTTGCATTGCCATGGCTTGATGTGCTTTCCACTAACGTCTCCACAGATATTCATGATCAAGACGCCATCGTAGACTCATATTGATGAACCGATCTGTACATGCATAGCGAGGAGTTATCAGGGTTTTTGGTTTAGCATGCACGTGCCGGGTTGTATTCTCAAGTTCCGTGCCATCGAGATAGAGAGCATAGAGATGCCCTGTTACACTACACCAAGTTTGGCTCTTACCTTGATCTTTCTGTCAGTCGATTGCGTCGCGTTGCATGGCGTGGTGTGGCTGTAAGCTTCGTACAACGGACAGTCGGAGCCCGACGATTGCGTGGCAGACATGGTCATGTCGGGCCTAATAGGGCTTTACATTGATAAGACTTTAATATTCCCCGCGTTTGAACCATCGGTCCTAGTAATAAGCCACCGGGCCCCTCGTCAAGCTTACTGCGGCTGTAGAGGACGGGTGCGCAAAGGCAAGGGGCAGTGTTGCTATTGTTCGCGTGACTGCGCCCAAGCATCTGAGGTGAATGGGACATGACGGCGCCACCGGTGAGGACTAGGTTGCGTCACAGAGGAGAGAGGCCACTCGGGGCGATGGCGGGACATTTGTTTGTTGGAAATGTGCCGGCAGCCATAGGGCGGTTCCAGAAACAGGGATGCAAGATTACCCCCGTCAGTTCCTGCATGGTGGAGCTGATCACTAGTCCGCCGCCGACTTAGCCCATGTATAATGACCTCGCCCGACTTTGGTACTTGGCCCGCCCGTTGAGCACGACGCCTCCTTGACGGCCAATTCCCTACTCCATTCACTCACGCTCACTTGTCACCTGTTGCTTTTCTTCTTCTTCTTCCACCAGCCATGGCAGCAAACGGCAGCATGCGCAGACGAACCGTCGACGCGCCCGGTAAGGCAATTGTCCCGATGTTGTCCGAGTCCTGTATGGCTAACCCGTACGCAGCGAGCCTTCACCCGCGCACATCGTCGCATTCCACCCAAACACCCGAACCCTCGCCTATAGATTCCATGCCCGCGCAATTGGCCTCTGACATGCCTTCCATTTCCACATCGAAGCCGAACGGCGCGCCTGCGCTGCTCCGCAAGCAGTCGTCACCCATGATGCCTCCTTTCATGGTCTCTGCACCCGGCAAGGTCATCGTCTACGGAGAACACGCGGTAGTGCATGGCAAGGTAGGATTACTAGGACAATCATGTCGGGACACGTGCTGACCGTCTGCAGGCTGCCATCGCCGCCGCCATATCGCTCCGCTCCTACCTCCACGTCTCGTTCCTCTCCAAATCGAATCGGACCGTTAAACTGCGCTTCCCCGACATACAGATGGAGCACACGTGGAATATCGATGATCTGCCATGGGACAGCTTCTCCAAGTCAGGAAAGAAGAAGTACTACTACGACCTCGTCACCTCGCTCGACCCCGACCTCATGGCCGCCATCCAGCCCTTCATCGACGAAGTATCACCGAAAGCCCCCGAGTCGATACGCAAGATCCACCACGCCTCCGCGTGTTCCTTCCTATATCTCTTCCTTTCCCTCGCGTCGCGAAAAGTCCCCCCGTGTGTTTACACACTGCGATCTACCATTCCCATTGGTGCTGGATTGGGCAGTAGCGCCAGTATATCCGTCTGCCTCAGCACGGCAATGCTGCTGCAGATACGCGCACTCAGCGGACCCCACCAAGACCAGCCGCCGCAAGAATGTGAGCTCAACATCGAGCGAATCAACCGTTGGGCGTTCGTTGGGGAGATGTGCATACACGGAAACCCCTCAGGTGTCGACAATACCGTTTCCTCAGGCGGCAAAGCGGTTCTCTTCCAGCGGAGGGATTACGACAAGCCACCTCTAGTCATACCATTGCATAGCTTCCCCGAGCTCCCACTGCTGCTCGTCAACACACGGCAATCGCGCAGCACGGCAACAGAAGTCGCCAAGGTCGCCAACCTTCTCAAGGTGCATCCCGCCCTCACAGAAAACATCCTCAATGCTATTGGCCTAGTGACGGAATCCGCACACAAACTACTCACATCTCCCGATTTCGATGCAACATCTCCAGACTCACTAAGACATCTCGGTGAGCTCGTCACGATGAACCACGGGCTACTCGTCTCCTTGGGCGTCTCACATCCCAAACTTGAGCGTATCCGCGAGATTATCGATCACACAGGCATCGGATGGACAAAACTTACAGGTGCAGGAGGCGGAGGATGCGCTATTACCATCCTTAAGCCCCAACCGCCAGCCCTCACTAACGGTCATGCGAATGGCGCGCACCACGATACCTCATCAGACGAGTCTGACGCCTCTTCCGAAGCGGACGGGGGCGGCGCCGCATCCGTAATATCCAACGGCACAAAGCTAAAGTACAAGATTCTCGACTCTCTTGAGGTCAAATTAGAGAAGGAAGGCTTCGAGAAGTTCGAGACGACGCTTGCTGGCGACGGAGTAGGTGTGCTTTGGCCTGCTGTCCTACATAACGGGAATGAAGAGGAAGGCGGAGAGGAGATTGATCAAGAGAAGTTCCTTCGGGCCGAGGGCACAGTCGGTATCGAAAGACTGGTCGGCGTGTCCAGCTCGAAACGAAAGGGCCCCAGAGAGGTTAGAGAAGGTTGGAAATTCTGGAGACCCTGGGAGGTTCCCGAGTAGTAAACTCGGGTCTTTTGTTCCCAACAACTCGTCTGCTTCCAACATGTTCTGGCAATGTCCTGGATGGGTTCGAGTTTCATCTTCCGTTCTTGTTTCTTTGTTATTTAGCTAGATATAGGGATTTCATTGTACTTGAAGCCTTGACAGGCGTGAAGGAAAAGGCTAAAGAAGTAATGTCTTGTAGATATGAGATGGCTGATACAATCTGGCTGCAAGGCGCCTGCGGCCGAAGCATGGCCTAGCGTGAGCAGCACAGCAATAATGGAATTTCAAAGTTCCTCATGCATCAGTTCATTGTACTGCGAGTTCTAGTCTGCGATCCACCTACAATAAACACAGGGTCGTAGCGAATCGAGGTGTGCAGGTAAAGAGTGAATGTGGCGTACCATGTGTGATTGGGCAGCTAATTTTTGGTAGATCAAGCGAGCCACGCGCGACACCTGCAGAAGCCCAACCATTGTCTTGCGCCGTAGTCAACCTTTGATCGTTTCCTTCACCCACACCACTCGCCCATAAAACCCTGCGCCGCCGTCGGAACCCTTGGATACATTACTCCCAACAACACACAGCCCGTACCTTTTCACAAACAACTGCAACTATGGCACCAGGAAAGTGGGGTACGTCATGTTCGCTGCCACTGCGCGCGGTTCAAGATGGTCATGCAAAAACTTGGGACTGACATGTTCTGCAGACGACGAGGATGAGGGCAGCACTCCTCCCACATCCCCACAGGTGGCTCCCATCGCCCGCCGCAGCAAGTTCGACGATGAAGAAGACGACGACGATGTGCGTCAGCCCACCATGCCCCGCGCTTGAATACTTCAAGCCCCGCCACGACCACATGTATTGACATTGGACACAATAGGTACTAGATTCATGGGACGCCGCCGAGGATTCCGAAGTCGAACGCGAGAAGGCAAAGAAGGCCGCAGAGGCAAAGGC